AGGGGAGGGTGAATTCGTCCAAAATACCTACCCACCCTGGATTCGCCAGCGAGGTTTTGTGTTTTGGGTCGGACCCCCCCAATCCCAAAACCGTGGCGGAGCCCCTGGCGCCAGATGCGCCATTATTTGTCAACCGCAGAAGGTGACATGTGACGTAACAGCATCAAGAGCATCTTTTTCAAGAACTTTTCAAAACAAGTTTCCTATCTTTCTTCCCCCATTTCTCTCAGCTTATTGATTTTATGAGGCAATGGTATGCACCATAAATTCTGTGAAAATAGTTTGATCATTTTCATGCATTCTTAAAAAATCGAGTTCCCAACCCCATTGTGCGCCTCTGTTTTAGAAAAATGACGAGCACAGCCCCGTCAGCATCCCAAAATGCAACCACTGTCACCTTGCCGACTGACTTAAATACGTCACACACATTTGGTGGCCTTTACTCAGTGTGCTTCCACTTGTGCAACTCAGTCACGCCCTTAGGGTCAACGTGTGACACCCACAATCCATCCACGGTAACAAGTAGTTCAATGACCTGTTTTGGATCTTCGATATGTGGCCAAAGTTTTCGCGTTACGCCTCCTTTCGAGTATGCCTTTCCACTGGAGTCAGCAAACGGGGGATGCATCTTGCAGAGATCTTAAACATATTAACCCTCGCCGGCACAGGCCATTTTGCGTCCTTCGACGGCACAAGGGGGGGGGGGGGGTTGGTACGACCCCCCCCCCCTCGCGTTTCGCCCCTGATCTAGCTAGAGCTTCGCGGAAAAAACGACGCCGTGTTGCCCGTCACGAGAGGAAGCCGATGATACCCAATTTTATGACCCTAGGTCATCGGGTGACCTTCCAGGTCAGGTCAATGACCCGAAAACCGGGAAAATCGGGACCTGTTAGAAAGTCGTAAAGTGTGGCTGCCATGTGGTTTTCCGGGGTGCTGATCACGAATATCGTGTTAGTTTTGATCAGAGATGATGTTTTTAAGCATTTAGACCAGGTCGGGTCAGACTCAGGTCAGGTCAGGTCAATCGGTAGGGGTTGTGACGGGTATTCGTAATACGTGTCAGCCGCCTCTGACAGCCTCGTAATATGTTACGAAGGCACCAAAACTACTATGTAAATGTTCAAATGGTTGCTAAATTCGAATTCAGCTCCAAAAACTAGCCTAGAAACATGTAAAACTCGAAAAAGTGAACCGAGGTCACCCGAGGTCACCAAAGGTCAATGACCTGACCTGACCTTCAGGTCACCTTGACACCCACCCTAATGTATGGGAGCAATATCAAATCACATGTTTGAGCGTTTGAAACCACGAAAAGCTTGCAAACGCGCGGCTAATGCGAGCCGACATACGCCGAATCGCGATTCCGGCCAAACATGGTCTCTGAAAAGAGGTCACAGGTCAAAGGTCCTTTGGGTCAGGGTCATGAAATTTTCAGGGTAGGTGTAAAATTGATCAATGCGAGGGTACTGAAAGTTTCGTCGCGATCGGCCGCTTTTTACGCGAGTTATTCGCGAAAAACCTTAGGGGGGGGTGCATCAACCCCCCCGTGCCGGCGAGAGTTAACCCTCGCCCGTAAACGGCGATCTGCCACCTTCGCCCATGCAGGGGGGGGGGGTTGGTGCGACCCCCCCCCCCCTTGGCGTTTGAAAACGGAGCGTCGTAGAGCTTAGCGGAAAAGACCAACGGATTGCTCTCGCCGAGATCTCGCGATTGGTGGTATATTTTTTGGTCCTAGGTCAACATTTGACCTACTTTTGACCGGTCAAAGGTCAAATTTTCGGAAAAATAGACTTTTTTCAACTTTCCGCGGCAATTGCGGCAAAACGGTGGGAGATATCGACTTGAAACCTTCACTATCGTGTTCCTTGATCAATTCTCTATCGTTTGGTATGTATTTCGTTTCCCTAGCTCTAAAAATGGCGCGTTGGGAGCGCCGGAAGTCGGCAAGGTCACAGTCGGCGGCAGAAATTCGAAAAATCAAAATTTAAATTTTTGAAATCTGATTGTATTTTTGGATTTGGGAGGTCCATTTGCTCCCTAAAGAAGCTAATATTGCTGCATATTCCCATTGAGGTGACAAGAATTAGCAAAATAGTGGTTCGGGCGCTTTTCAAAAATAGTACCGGACGCTGTTCCTCTTGTGACGTCATAGCTCCGTGACCTGACCTGACCCGGTCAAGTTTCTTATACCATATGATAGCCAATACTTGCCCCAACATGCATGGGAAGTTTCATCACGATCCATCAACCGATGTCCGTACCACCGGCAGGAAACCTCGGGCGTTGGCACTCAGTTTGTGAAAATCCGGCCGGAGGCTGTTCCCTTTGTGACGTCATAACTCCGTGACCTGACATGACCCGGTCAAATTTTTTTTTATCAAAAGATGCGCAAGGTTTGCCCCATAAGGTACCCAAAATTTGGCGGCGCTGCGCGCTGCCGTTTTTGCACTATTTCCGAAAAACCTCAGGGGGGGTTGCACCAACCCCCCCCCCTACATGGGCGAGGGTTAATACGCTGTTGAAGAATGGCTTTGAGGAACCTGAGGACACCTCACACCTCCGCTTCTGCTGCGCTGTTCTAGACCAGAACATTTGTCATTTTTCACAAAGAAGTGCTTATTTTTCATATTTTCTTGAGTCAATGCTGTTGACGGCTGGCCACTGCGGGGTTGACCATTAATGATCTGTTGACCAAAATTGAACAGAGATGCCCACTTTTTGACGCTACTGTAAGAAAGACAAACCTCAACATGTGTTGGCACTTGCTTTTCGTGAATAACGTTTGGTGCATTTTTCTGCAATACATGAACCAAATCACTGTTCTCTTCTGGGCATCGCCCATTTTGACTGGGAATAGCAAACTATGTTACGATTAATCATAGGCGCGGGAGCCGGGGGGGCAGTGGGGGCAGCTTGCCCCCCCCCCCCCCCAACTCTGGGGCCGTGGGGGCGGTGCCCCCACAGCTTTGAGACGGAATACCACACTTTTTTTGCAAATGTTTTCTTTTTTTGTTGAAAAAGCCGAGGGGTGAAAAATAAGTGGCCTAAAACCGGTGAGAAAACTAGATTTGGGGGTACCCTAGGTTAATCTCTATTATGGTGTGCCCCCCCCCCCCCCCCAGTCGGAAAGTAGTTCCCGCGCCCCTGCGATTAATTAGCAGCCTGAACCAATCACAGGGCAGATTGGTTAATGGCTACGTAAGTGGACATCCCAATATCACATCACTGAACACACCACGTTGCAGGCCGAAATTCCAACTCCTTCATGGTTTGGCCGGGAACTTTTTGAACGCCCCTCGTACAGTTTGAATCGTCGTCTCGTCAGACCGCGTCAGCCACGTCATGCACCGGGCCGTCGAGCACCGTTGGAGTCAGACTCGAAATCGTCAGGCCGCGTCGGCCACATCGTATACACCGGCGCCGTGTCGCACCGGCGGAGCCACGTTCAAGACTGTCGTGCTCCCGTCTCGTCTCAGCCCTCGTGGTAGCACAACACGTGCCACGTGGGCATGAGAACCAGGACAGGGGCCGAATGACGCATGTGTGCGCGGCGCGGCGCGGCATTGCTCTCCTCCATACCGAGGGGACTTCAGCGGAGCTCCACGACTTGTTGATGACGTGCAGTAGCGTGCAGTGGCCCAGGCCGCGCTACTGCACGTCATCAACAAGTCGTGGAGCTCCGCTGAAGTCCCCTCGGTATGGAGGAGAGCAATCATCATACCGATCCCTAAGGCCGGGAAGGACCCTCAATAGGTCACTAGCTACCGTCCGATTTCGCTCACCAGCCACGTCGCCAAGCTGATGGAGCGGATGGTGGCAGCTAGGCTCACGCACCTACTGGAGCGAGACAACATTATCCCCGCAGAGCAGGTCGGTTTTCGCCGCGGCCGCTCTGCAGAGGAGAACCTGGGACGACTCATACAAGAAGTCCAGGACGGGTGGAACCGGCCGCCACCGAAGGGACGCCCGTCTGACGGCAAGACCGCCGCCAGGTTCGTGTTGACGGCCTACGACTTCTCCCGCGCCTACGATGTAATCGACCATCAAATGCTGCGACTGAAGATGTCCCATCACCTTCCACGGTGCCTTGTCACGTGGATTCACCACTTCCTCCGAGACCGACGCGCCTGCGCGGAGGTCAATGGGTCACGGAGCCGGAACCGCCCATTCCGAGCTGGCCTGCCGCAGGGGTCCGTCCTCGCACCGACCCTGTTCACGCTGTGGTCGGCGGACCTCGTGGCGGCGCTGAAGCGGATCCCGGGCACCTCTGTCTTCCTGTACGCCGATGACACCGCAACACTGTGTTCCGGCGGTACGATAGCGGAAGCCAGGGACCGGGCTCAACAAGCGGCGGATGCCATCGCGAAATGGGCCCGCGACTGGAAGATGCGGCTGGCAGGAAGCAAAACGCAAGTTTTAGCCCTGTCGCAGCACCACGTCGACGCCCGGGACCTGTACATCCACGTAGACGGGGCACGAGTGGACGCTGGGAGACACCTTCACCTTCTCGGCGTAACCCTGGACCGGCAACTTCACATGGGCGAGCACTGCGCGCGCGTCCGGAAGAAGACCAAGCCGAGGATCGCACAGCTCCGTAAGATGACCGGGCGTTCCTGGGGTCTGCGGGAGCCACAGCTGCGAGTAGTAGCCAACGGCTACATCCGCGGTGCCCTGGAATACGCGGCGGCTGCATGGCTCCCTGCAGCGTCCGAGTCCCACGTAGAGCTACTGGAGAGAGAGAGAGATGCGCGCGGCAGCCCGCGTTATCACCGGGTGCCCCGTGAGCACGCCGAGGGATCCGCTCCTCGCGGAAGCCGGTCTGGTTCCCGTGAGAGCACGCCGGGACCTGCTCGCTGCCAGACTGAGCTGTCTGGCAGCCTCACAAAGAAGCGGCGACCCACTGCGCGCGGTGGCCGAAGCAACGGCCCCACGGCGGCTCCGCACCACCACCGCCTGGCGCGACACGGGGGCGCGCGCCCTGGTGAGCGCGGGCGTGCGAGATGTACCTGTGGAGGAGCGCCTGCACGCCGTGGATCGACGACACCAGGGTCCAGTTCAGACTTGACATCGGCAACCACATCAGCCGCACAGCACCACCCGACGTCCGGCGGGAGAGAGCGGAGGAGCATCTGGCCACCCTTCCAGACGACGCCGTATGGGTGTGGAGCGACGGCTCGGCGGAGGGAGGTGTCTCAGCCGGAGGGAGTGGAGCGCTGATAATCCTCCCCTCAGGCGAGGAACACGAGCTCCGAGCCCCTGCAGGCAAGATATGCAGCAGCACCCGCGCCGAACTGGTGGCGATCCGCGGGGCACTGGAGATGCTGCTGCGGCTGGAGGGCGGCCTGGCGGAGAGCCCGGTCATCGTCTGCGCCGACTCGCAGGAGGCGCTCGCCACACTGGCGAGTGGGGCTGGGAGCCAGGCGACAGCACTCGGCGCCGCCGTATGGCGACTGCTCCTGGCGCTCACGGACGGAGGACGCCGAGTCTTCATGCAGTGGATCCCAGCGCACTGCGGAATACCCGGCAATGAGAGAGCGGACGTGCTGGCTAAAGAGGCATCCAGCCTGTCGCAAGACGCCGTCCCACGGACGTCCGCTCGATGGTGAAGGCAGTCCGCCGCTCCGCCACCAAGGCATGGCGTCGCAGCTGGCCAGACAGCTTCTTCAAAACCATCATGGGAGACCGGATGCCGATACCGGTGCTCCTGGAGTCTCGCGACGAGGCGGTCAACGTCCACCAGCTGCGGGCGGGACACTGGAGCCGCTCGCAGAGCTACCTCCACAGAATCGGACGCCGCCCCGAGCGCGACTGCCCACAGTGCAGTGATCTGGCCTGCCCGGCGGCGCGCTGCCTGGTGTGTCGCGAGGGCCCGGACACGCCGGAGCACGTACTGCTGAGGTGCCCGTGCTTGGCTGGCGCGAGGCTCCGCCTACTCGGCAACATCAGACCGGACCCTACGCAGCTTCGGGACGGCGGGGCCGTGGCGGCCTTGAGCCGCGGCTACCTCAGTCACCAAGAGCCGTTGGGCTACGGTCGGCCGTGAGCCGACCCGGGGAGAACAACAACAACAACAACCTCCGCGCTCCGAGCGCCGGCCGTCTTCGACAAGATATCCAGAAAGGCGTATTTGCTCGCTAACAGGCTGTATATATGTATATATTAGTTAGGTACCTACTGACATCATTTCATAAGGTTTTTAAGGTTTCCTGCTGAGCATTTTATATCTTTCTTTATTTCAATTGCAGTTGGCAGATTTTGTTATATATGGAGATGAGATCCCTGTGTAGTGTGTACCTTTTTTAGATCCCCATCATCCCATGTACCTTGGCATTTCACTGGTGACACTGACAAGCCTAAACCATCCATGTGAGCTCAACCAATGAGAAGCCAAGAAACTGCAGCATGCTGACAAAAGAAAAATGGGTAGAAGTAAAGAAGGCATCACAGTTCACACTTGTTTTGTTTTTGCAACCAAGAAGAGACACCATAGGTTAGGTTTCAAGTTTAGGTGGTATGTCTTAGGTTGAAGGTTGCTGGTTGTGGGTTTTAGGTTGCAGGTTGTAGGTAAGGTAAAATTAGGTTTGGTTGGGCTTGGTTTTATAAGAAAGCATCCCTGGGTGTAGTGCCTCTCCTTGGTTGCCAAAAACAAGTGTGATACCTGCTTTATGCCAACAAAAATTGAGTGAACATAGAACTGCACTCTGTACATTATCTAGGTACAGCGCAACAATCCATTAAAACTGCCAGTGAATAAGTGGGCGATTTCTGTTAGCATTGTATGTATATAGGGATTGCTTTTAGAGGTGTTTGAGCTGCTATAATCAGCATCTAATCTTTGTTGTTTGGCCATATTATAAAAATACAAATTTGAGTGAGCCATTTAAAGGGACCCTCCCACCTTCAAAAATGTTAATGAATTGGCATGAAAGTGATGTCGCTCGGTTCAGAAAGAGCGAAAACGAATATCTACCAAATTTCATCGAAAAATATTCACCGGTTTTCAAGATATTAAACTTGTACAATTGTTTACTTTTTGGGATCTCCGCTGTTCCTAGCGACTTTATTTGAAAGTGCGGCATTTGTTGCGCGCAAAGCAGCATATACCACCGCGTGCTACCAAACGTTTTAGTAAAAGATTTAAAAATCGTTAGATCTCCACTGACGTCACAAATTCTAAGGGGGCACACCAATGCATTAGCCCCTTAGAATCCGAAAACTGCAAGTTTGAAATTCCATATCTCCGAATTAAAGCATTTTTCGATGATGTGAGTGCCCAAACCGGTATTTTCAGGCCATGGCCACCAATTTGGCTATCTCAACTCAAAACTAATGTTAAGGTGGGAGGGTCCCTTTAAGTCCCACAAGGAGCCGTAATAGCCATTTTGGCTATTACGGCTCTTAATGACCCTGATCTTCATCTGAGGCCAGTTTTGCAGACAAAAAAGTTGCCTGCTGAGGGCTGGCAGAAGTTTCATTTCAAAGGCTCTCACAAGCTTAAACAGCCTGCACGATACATACAAATAACTGCTGATATAAGAAAATACATTTGTTAGGCAGGCAGGTATGGCGCTCAGGGGCAGTTTGAGACGAGAAAAGCTACAGAAGGCAATTTTCCTGCTGGTAAACCTAGCCCTTGGTCACCAAATTCAAATTGTCCCATTGAATTCTCACACGACCGAGTTTGAGTTATCTACAGTAGTGCTGATGCAAATTAAAAGCTTGCAATGACGCGAAGATCATACTGTTCAAGTTTTCAACACAGTTACAGCACACTTACCAAAAGCATGCTGTTATGAAAATTGTACGGGACTAACCAAGGCCGTATAAGTTGGACTAACCACCAACGCAGGCAACACCCTGGACCTCAGTGGACCTCAGCTGGCCTACTCCCAAAACAAAACAAAACTCTGAAAACGCTTCAGCTTGGCAAGCCAAGCGCATCAGTGTGGCGGGAAACGTTTTCTCGTGAACGCCGCAGCTGCGCCACATATGAAAAGCTACCATATAAGTATATTATCTACCATATTTTGATCGTGATGTCAGGGAGTAGTAAAGGAATATTGATATCAGATCAGGGGCCTGTTCCCACTCAGTAGAATTTTCGACCAAATGCGTTTTACTCGGTGTTATTCTCTAGAAGACCCGTGACCAGCAAAACATTTTATCTTTGACCCATGGGCGTAGGAACGGCTGGAACATTGTGGGTGCATGGGTGCAGAAATCCAGCCATGGCCGGTGAACCGGGGGGGGGGGGGGGGGGGCGACACCCGAGCGAAGGCTCGTTACGAGCTTTGAGGATGTACCATGTCGAAAAGGTACCAACCGATAAGTGCATTTGGAAGCATTGACCCTCGCATGTGTAGGGGGGTCGGATGAACCCCCCCCCCATGGTTGTTCGCAAATAACTCGCGCAAAAAGCGGCCGATCGCGACGAAACTTTTAGTACCCTCGAGTTGATCAGTTTTACACCTACTCTAAAAATTTCATGACCCTGACCCAAAAGACCTTTGACCTGTGACCTGATTCTCGAGACCATGTTCGGCCGGAATCGCGATTTGGCGTATGTCAGCTCACATTATCCGCGCGTTTCCAGTCTTTTTGTGATTGTAGACGTCCAAACATGTGAAATGATGTTCTTCCGGTTCCCATGCATCACGGTGGGTGTGAAGATAACCTGAAGGTCAGGTCAGGTCATTGACCTTTGATGACCTCGGTTCACTTTTTCGAGTTTTACATGTTTCTAGGGTAGTTTATAGGGCTGATTTCGAATTTAACATCCATTTGAACGTTTACGAAGTAGTTTTAGTGCTTTCGTGACATGCTACGACGCCGTCAGTGGTAGTTGACACCTACTATGGATAGCCGGTAGGACGCCTAATGGTTGACCTGACCTGACCTGACCCGATCTGGCCTAAATGCATGAAGAAATCATCTGTGATCAAAACTAACATCAGATATTTGTGATCAGCACCCCGAAAAAAACCCGATAACAGCTTCACTTTACGCAGTTCTAGCAGGTCCCGATTTTCCCGACTTTTGGAATATTGACCTGACCTGGAAGGTCAACCAATGAAGTAGGACCTTAGAATTGGGTATCATCGGCTTCCTCTCGTCACGGGCAACACCCTCGTTTTTCCGCGAAGCTCTAGCTCGATCAGGGGCCGAACGCCAGGGGTCCGACCGACCCCTCCCCCTCCCCCTACACATTAGAAGCTGGAAAACGCTGCACACATTCGAGGGCTAATATTGTCAATATTGACTACCGCAAAAAGTAAAAGCGGCCAACTTAGCCATTTTCGAAGATATCGGGCTAAAATTTTGGACAGTGGGTCATCGGTTCGGTATGTGTTCAATCACATGCTCCATTTCCCTTTTTTCAGCACAAATGTAAGTTTTGAAGACCATCACTGATCACAGTAGCAAATGCTTCGAAAGATGAATAGGGCAACATATCCTGAATTTGCCGCGCTGCATGGAAGTAGTGTTGATGAAAAAGGGGTTTTTGGTTCAGATTATGGGTGCAGAATCAGGGGCGGATCCAAGGGGGGGGGGTCACATGGGTCATGGCCCCCCCCTTGAGGCCCGGGGGCCCAAAGACCTGCCAGGGGCACCATCGGCCTATCAGGGGTATCACAGTCCTGACAGGGGCACCACAGGACCACCAGGGGCACCACAGGCCTAGCAGGGACACCACGGGCCTGGTGCCCCTGGGCCCTGACAGGACTGTAACGCCCCTGACAAGCCTGAAGTGTCCCCGGCAGGCACGTGGTGCCCCTGACAGGCCTGAGGCGCCCCTGCAAGGCCGGTGGTGCCCCTGGCAGGCCTGTGGTGTCCATGGCAGGCCTGTGGTGCCCTTGCTAGGCCTCTGGTGCCCCTGACAGGCTTGTAATGCCCCTGGAAGGACTGTGGTGCCCCTGGGCCCTGACAAGCCTGAGGTGCCCCTGACAGGCCAGTGGTGCCCTTGCTAGGCCTGTGGTGCCCCTGGCAGGCCTCTGGTGCCCCTGACTGGCTTGTGGTGCCCTTGGAAGGACTGTGGTGCCCCTGGGCCCTGACAAGCCTGAGGTGCCCCTGACAGGCCCGTGGTGCCCTTGTTAGGCCTGTGGTGCCCCTGACAGGCCTCTGGTGCCCTTGCTAGGCCGCTGGTACCCCTGCGCCCGGAGAAGACTGGTGCCCCTGAAAAGTCTGAAGTGCCCCTCGGCAGGACCGTGGTGCCCCTGACAGGCCCAAGGTGCCCCTGCGAGGCCGGTGGTGCCCCTGGCAGACCTCTGGTGCCACTGGCAGGTCTGTGGTGCCCCTGGCAGGTCTGTGGCGCCCCTGGCAGACCTGTGTTGACTGGTGCCCCTGCTAGGTCGCTTGTGCCCCTCACAGACCTGTGGTGCCCCTGGGCCTTGACAAGCCTGAGATGCCTGGCTATGACAGGCTCGTGGTGCCCCTGATAGACCCTTGCTAGGCCTGTAGTGCCCCTGGCAGGCCTCTGGTGCCCCTGCTACCCCTGCGTCCGGAGAGGACTATGGTGCCCCTGAAAAGCCTGAAGTGCCTCTCGACAGGCCCGTGGTGCCCCTGGGCCCTGACAGGCCCAAGTTACCCCTGCGAGGTCGGTGGTGCT